ATATTAAGGCCCCTATAGTTTAAGGGATATCCCTTAATTACGGGCTATTGGGTTCTCTGGGTCTATGAACCTCCAAAATCGAACCCCCAAACACAGAAACTCCTCGAGCCCTAAACCCTAAACCCGAAACACACACGCTAAACCCTAAACCCTAAACCCTAAACCCTGAACCCCTAAACCCTAAACCCTAAACCCTAATCCCTAAACACCCAAAATCCCTAGACTCCTTAAATACCCGTAGCACCCCACATCCCTGCCTGCACGGTTCTGTCTTTAAGCTTGCAGCTGGCTCTGGGGAGTGTGGGGCTAAGGGCTTCAGGGCTCCAATTGAGGTTTAGGGTAAGTTAAGTTCTCAAGTTGGATTTTCAGGATTTTTGGAATGACTTCACGGCATCTGTACCTTTTTAGGACTTCTGACGGGTGGATTAGGGGCCTGGGGTGTGTATATATATATATACACACATATATGCATGACATGTACAGAGAAAACACATGAAACTCTCTCTGACTGTCTGTCTGTTCGGCTGTGTCTGCATGTCTGGCTGGCTGGCTGTCTATCTCTGCGTGCCTCTCTCTCTCTCTCTCTCTTTGTATCCATGTATTTCCTTTTTTGATTCTCACTGTGATTAATTAGTTGGGTGTCGTATATGCAAGAGTGCCGAATAATGGTCAATGCGGTCCCCGGGTTCAATACATCCACGGCTTGGGTTCGGGTACAAATATGAAGCATGAGTCCCCATGCCGCCGAATCCAAGTGTAGCGGGATGCTGGGAATCGAAGCCCATTACCCCTGCATAAAATAATATTCTGGGATTTTTAATATCCGACTCTCCACAAGGTATGGGACTGACATAGCAAGGAGATGTTTCGCAACTTCCAACTTAACAATTTCTATAAACCCCTAAACCCTAAACCCTATGAGCCGGAGCTTCCACCCGTACAAACCCACACCTCCGGGCTCTGAAATTTGCGGCGCTCCTCTCTGGCCAGGCTTGAAAATATCGCGATTGCATTCCAAATTTTGTCAAGTTGAGTCTTTAGGAGGGTGTAGGGTTTACTGGAATGTCAAGTTTGGGAAAAGAAGCCTAAACCCTAAACCCTAAACCCTAAACCCTAATCCCTGAACCCTAAGCTCTCTTTCTTTCAGGCTGTGTGGTTCGGGGATTTGGGATGAGATGCGGCCTGAGAGAGGCCACACCCAGAAACGTAGGGGCCTAAGACTTACCAACTATTTTGGGGGTTCCTTAGTATGATTACAGTATAAGGGCGCCAAAACCCCATTCTAATCATTCGAGCCCCTATAGTATGCATTTTGAAGGCTTTACGGGCCGTGGGAATTGCGAAACCGGGACTCGGGGTCGTAAGTACTAAGGCCATGAACTCTAATGGCCCAACCCCTAAAACCCGAAAGATCCAAAAATCCGAAACACAAAAACCCGGGTTTAGGGTTTAGGGTTTAGGGTTTAGGGTTTGCTTGATCTCATCTCCCGCCGTGTGGCCAGCATTGCAAGGGCGCAGTTGAGCAGCGAGTCCCTGAACCTGGACGTCTTTCGGATCTTTTCGGGCTTTATAGGGTTTAGGCTTGAGGCGATAGAACCCTAAACCCTACCTAAACCCCCAGTAAAATAATGGCCCAAGACCCATAACAGCCTATTATTTTACATACTTTTGGTGTCCAGGCAAGCCCCTTTCGGATCTTCTCGAGCTTTTCGTCGGCTTTTCGTGGGGTTTTGCGGGGCTCAGGCTACAAGGATCCGGGGACTCAGCGCGGTGTCTTAACTAATGAGGTTGGGTTTAGGGCTTAGGGTTTAGTGTCCAGGGTTTGGCCCTTCTAAGCCTCTGGCACAGCATTCAGTCTTTTGAGAGTCGCAACAGTCTGAATTTTGGGCGAGGCAGCTCTGGCAGTGGTCGGGCACTCGATTGACCATGTTGTGGTTCTGCTCCAGTTCGGAGGGGCAATGGTTCTTCTCTTATGGTCAGGGTGCGTGCGTGCGCGTGTGTGTGTGTGTGTGTGTGCGTGCCTCTCCATGACTCTCTGTTGGTCAGTGTGTCTGTACTGAGATGTGTTGAGTAACATAGCTTGTTTTGGCTTGCATTGATGGCATCGTCGAATCTTTCAAGCTTTGCTTCTTTGCTTCCATGATGTTCAAGCCTACTTGGCACCGGGCACTTTGAAGCTCTGCCTTCACCTGCAGGTGGCTCGATTCTCTACATCGTGCCGATTGCACAATGCGGCTGCTGTTCGAGACCCCCGCCAAGTTCTCAGCGGTCCTCCGACATGTTGACAGCACACATCTGGTGCAAGCTCTCGAGAACACGCCTTAATAATTAGAATAGGGTTTGGGGGCCCATTGTACTAACTATAGTTATAATACGGAACCCCCAAAATATTATAGGCAAATATTAAGGCCCCTGAGTAAATCAGATTCCCTGCAGACGCCCGATAAGAAGAGAACGCATGAAATATCCCAAAAGCCTCCCTAGTTAGCGAGTTGCTTAAGAATAAACCCTAAACCCTAAACCCTAACCGTGGCGGCTCCCCGGTGTTTCGGAGGCCTCTGGGCTTAGAGGACTTGGCGAGAAGACACGCTGGATGACCGGCCATGAACTTTCAATAAGCCTTTTGGTTCGTAGGGCTTCACTAGACAGCTGCTTAGGGTTTAGGGTTTAGGGGACGGGTATGGATTTAGGGTTTAGGGTTTAGGCGTCGACCCTGAAACCGTTTAGGCGTCGACCCTGAAACCCCACAACCCTGAACGTTTCAATCCGCTCGACAACGATCAACCCGAAACGCTGAACCTGAATCATCTCTTCACATTCAAACTCAGTGCTGCACCTAAACAGGAAAAAGTCTTGAAGGATCATTATGAGTTTTAAGACTGGTTCGACATGCCATCAAGTACTGGGGTCATAAAGAGATAGAAAGGCCACCAAGCATCAAGGTCATAAAGATCGAGGTATACATGTAGTTGAAAAAATGTGGCCCCCGTGTTTCAACTGATCCCAGAGCCTGAAAGCCAGAAGCAGAACGCAAAACTAAGGGCGCACGTTTCTGGAGCACTAATGTCCCCGACCCGCAGAACCTCAACACCCCAGATCCTAAACTTATCATATAAGCCCCAAAACCCAAACCCTCGACCCTACAACAAACCCTGGCCTCTAGACTTTTGCATAATCTCCCAACCTTCAACCCTCAACCCAAAATTCTAACCGAAACTGTAACTTGCCTGGAATCCTTCAACCCCCAATCCTAGAAGAACTAGACCTTAAATCCTTCAACCCTACAGACCATATGTAAAGGTGTATATACGTAAACACCTACAAATACACATCAACATAAATAGCATGAACAGATACATACATATATGTATATATGTATGTATATATATATATGTAGTAATATATACACATACGTATGTGTGTGCGTGTGTGTATACACACACACATATATATATATATATATATCACTCAGGCCCTAAACCTGAATACCTGAAAACTGACGCACATTGAAAGTGTGGGCCTGGTCCGGCAAGGATCAACAAAGTAATGGCATAGCCGGAAGCTGAGCGGAACCATCCTCGGTGAACGTCTGCAGGGCGAATGCGTTTCAGGTAAAACCCCCAACCCTAAACCCTACCTTACTTCCCCAATCAGCCAGGGAAATAAAAGGTGAAACTTTCAGATGACTACTAGGTTATAAGAACCCAGAAAGTTTCAAGGTTGGGTATTGGAGAACTAAGGTTATAATACGGAACCCCCAAAATATTATAGGCAAATATTAAGGCCCCTGAGTAAATCACCTCATGGTTCAGTTCTGGTTCAGGTTTCAGGTTGGGAGTTGAAAGGTATTCGGGGCCCGGGAGGGCTTGCAGTTTATGATTTGGGGTTCTGTGGGTGCAGTGGGCATGCCATGCACATGTGTGTGGGCGCGGACTTTGTGGTTTTTGCATACGGTCTGTGTATGTGTGTATGTGTGTATGTGTGTATGTGTGTGCGTGTGTGCGTGTGTGTGTGTGTGTGTGCGTGCTTCTTTCCGTCTGTCTGTTCCTCAACCAAGCAACCAATCAGTCAAACCACCCACCCGACCGCCCAACCCAATCAACCAATCCCTCCCCGATCTTTCTCTCTCTCTCTCTCTCTCTCGCTCTCTTTTGGGAGAAGGTTGGTGCGAGTGGTGCTGGAGCTCTTTGTCGGCTTAACTGTGCAGAAGAAGAGCCACAAGCAGATCCTTTCCAGTGGGAAGCAAGACGCCTCGAAGCTTTTGCACCGAACTCCAAAACCTGCTCCCTGGACCCTTGGACACCCGTGTCTTTGCAGATCCAGGCATCAACATCACCCAAGTACCAAAGCCTGCGTCATGTTACTGAGGTTATCTTGTTAGATGGGGTTCCGCTGTCAGGTTTCCGGCTGGACTTCCAAAGTGTGCTTCCTAGTTGGGTTGTCGAAGACCGTGCCGCACGCCCGATCTTGTAAAATCTAAACCATGTAAACCATGTCGTGTGCGGTTTCGTCTAGCTGGGGGAAGCAAGAAAGCAGGATGATCATCGCTCCGCCTTTTAAATCCTAATACGTATACGCCCTAAACTCCTAAAGCCCTAAACCCTATACGCCCTAAACTACAAGCCCTAAAACCCCTAAAGCCCTAATTCCGAAACACTACACTAAAACCCCTAACGCCCTAAACCCTGAACCCGTTAGGCCCTACACTCCCTAAACCCCAAAAACCCTAAACCGTGGTCTGCAAAACCCCCCGAAGTGAGCCTTTCAAACTTTCGAGTTCGAAGCCCCCATGCGGAGGTAGTCGGCCGATACCCTACCCTTTATGGCATTCGCAACAGTTCTCAGGAGCTCGACCTTCATCGATTCAGGCTCTAGATATTGGGGTGCGGGGGAAGAGAGGGCACTGCAGCTACGGGGCTTCATGCAACTTAGAATCGCGGCAACTCTGACCCTGTCACCTTTTGGCCTGTCAAGCTGACACTACGGTTGCTGATATAAATCCTGCATTACCCATAAGAAGGAATAGGCCATAATTCCCATAGTTTAGGGTCCTTAAGGTAATGCAGGATTTTTTTTATCATCAGCAGTCGTATCCGATTCTTGGTATGCACCGCTAGCAGGATTGAGCAAGATCGCATCCTGTCAGCCCCGAGACCCTTCATCATGCTGGTGCGAGAAAACCCCTAAACCCCTAAACCCTAAACCCCCTAACACACAAACCGAGCCTACAAGCGGCCCAGCCAATTTCCATCCGGTGCCGTCGTCGTACCAACTGCCGGCCATGTAGTCCTGGTCGGTATGATAAGAAAATCATAACCATCTATCTATAGTCTCCATTGCAGCTCCTTCTTTTGGTTATCCAAAGTTATATTTCAGGATCCTAACCATGAAATTGGCTCTAAAAAAAAAGGAACTACAATGGAGACTATAGGTATAGTCAGCTGTACCAGCCCCATCATCCTCGGCACCGCCATCACCCTCCCTCTGTCTTTCTCCGCATCTCTCTCCAAGGCCCCAGAGGGGCAGTCATGCGCCTGCACCAGGAAGGGCCTAGAATCGAACGCTACCACGCATACTCTTCATGGATGTCACAATAGCATGCTTCCGACTCCGTATGTTCTGACAACACGAAACTAGCAGAAGGTGGAGCCATCGCCCTGCTCAAGCTTTATTTTGGGGGGCTCCTTATTAGTATAATGATAGTATAATGGGCCCCAAAACCCTGTTCTAATTATTAAGGCCTCTATATTACGTCTTAAGCCAGACGCGCCGGGCTCTCATGCTGTCTTTCAGCTTCAGAGTCCGTTCACGGCCAGCTTCTTTCCCTCTTTTTGTTGGGGCTGGGCTTTGTAGTTTTGGGCTCCGAGACTCAAACCCTCAGACTGTACAACCCGAAATGGTTTAGGGTTTAGGGTTTAGGGTTTAGGGTTTAGGGCCCAAACATTCAGCTGAACAAGCTTTCCGAATCAGATCCCTAGACCTTAATGTAGCGGCCTTAATGATTAGAATAGGGTTTTAGGGGTCCTTGAAAGTAGAATTATAAGGAGCCCCCAAAACAGTATAGGTAATTATTGAGGCACCTAAACCCTAAACCCTACACCCTAAATCCGAAAGCTGAGCAAGCTTTCTGAATCAGATCAGGCTCGACGTTTGTGAAGACATGGGACCTTGGTCGTCTGGCTTGGAGAACTGGGTTTAGGCCTTTAAAGATTTTAGGGTTCAGGGTGTTTAAAGACTTTAAGGTTTAGGGTTTTGAAGGTTTCAGGGTTTAGGGTCTTAAAGACTTTAGGATTTAGGGTTGTAGAAATTTTAGGGTTTAGGGTTTGAGGTTTAGGAGTCGGGCATCTGTTGCGTTTCGGGAACTGGGCTTGCAGCTTCCAGAGTCTGGAAGCTTAAAGCAGGGTTTAGGGTTTCGGATCCTAAACCCTAAACCCCCTAAACCCTAAACCCTGAACCCTAAACCCTAAGACCCAAACCCTAAACCCAGGGTTTAGGGGTTTTGGTTTTAGGGTTTACCCAAGTTTACAGGTTTGCTGCGGGTCCAATACAGGATCAGGTTATACTTTGAGCCACACTTACAGACTGATTGCTACAACAACCTCCCTGTTCCCGAAACCGCAGCACACGGCGCTATCATTAAGGACCCCATAAACCCCGTAGAAAAACGCCGAACTTACTCTCAGCTCCCCGAGCATTTGAGTATTGAGGTAATGTAGGTGTCTTAATAATTAGAATAAGGTTTTGGGACATATTCTACTATAACTCTAATAAGGACCCCCCAAAATAGTATTAGCACTTATTTAGGCTTCTCTATTATGGTCAAACTGATTGGCACCCCTCTGCAGACCTTGCGGAGTCTCCGCCAGCACTCCAGCATCGGATCTTTCGCGCTTTGGGCTCCAAAGTGCTGCCGGACTTTAAAGTGTAATGTTGGGGGCCTTCATAACTAGAACAGGATTTTGGGGTATGTTGTACTAGAACTATAATAAGGACCCCCCAACATAATTTTGGTTTATTATTTTAGGCCCCTACATTAGGGTCTAGGGTTTGCGGCCTGAGGATGTTGGAGGGTTCAGGACATTAGGTTGTGGCTTGGCGTCCACGGTTTAGGGTTTAGGGTTTAGGGTGGGTTTCACAACTGGTCTCGAGCTTAAACCAAACTTTATCTGACAGCAGGTTCCCGAAACCCCAAGGCCCTAAGCACAGGCATGCTGTCCCCTCGGGGCTATCATCACGGGTTCTAAGCCATGGCCTGTCAGGGGAGGGTATGAAGGATATTGAAGCACCGTCGCGCAGGACTCTTCGGTAGCTTCCGAAATCAAAAAGCCAACCCCAAACCAAAACCTATAAGCCCTGAAAGGTCCATGTGTTGGGGATTGCTGATTAGGGTTTAGGGTTTAAGGTTTAGGGTTTAGGGTTTAGGGTTTAGCATCCAAAACAGGGGCACGGGGGTTTGTGGTTAGGCTTTTTGATTACAGCGGATGCTCGAGACAGTGATCACATGTTCAACTCCAAACGCGCTTCTGTTGTACACCCGGGTGTCGGATGACTGCCACCATGTCATGTTGGCCCGACCCGGACATTGTCCATGATTTGGGTACAGGTGGCGCATGGCCACAGCCCGAATTATTGAATTGCCGTTCCCGCGGATGGCAGTGCTGATGGGGCAGGAACGATTGCTTAGGCGGTGACCCCCCCTCTCGTACCTCTTCTTTGTTCAAGACCCTCCGTCCCGGCGTTGTAGGGCCTAGGGATCTAATACCGGTTCTCATCCGGGGTTTGTGCAATCTCAGCCCTCAGCCCAGACTCCTCAAACGACAGGGGATATCCACCACAAGGAACCCTAAGCAAAATTAATGCAAACCATCCAGGCCCCTGTCGCGGAACCCCAAACCCTAAACCCTATGAACCCCAGACCCCTAAACCCTAAACCACAGACCCCTAAAACCTAAACCCTAATACCCAAAACCCTATCATAAACCCTAAACCTTATAAACCCCAAATGCCCCATAGACCCTAAACCCCAAAACCCCTAAACCCCGCAAACCCTATAAGCTATAAGCCCTATAAACCTTATAAGCCCTAAACCCTAAACCCTAAACCCTAAACCCTAGACCCCAGACCCCTAAACCCTCAACCCCAGACCCCTAAAACCTAAACCCAAAACCCTGCTATAAACCCTAAACCCTAAAAGCCCCAAAGACCCCAACCCCCCCTTTAAAGAACCTAAACCCTAAACCCTAAACCCTGAACCTTATAAACCCTATA